AATGGCACGATTCCGTCTGACTTTAAGCTTCCAACTATCAATGTGCAGAAGTTACCATCGTTGTCGATGTCGGCCTTGTCTAAATAGAGAAACATGGCAAAGTTAATAAACAAATGGGATGTATGTAGTGAATAATAAACAGCAGTGGTACACTGGTGACAAACAAAAATGACCCATAGCACAACTGCTGTTTGCTCAAGATTCAGGATATCTGCTAATTTCAATGTCGAACTACTCAGAAAACTATATTCGAATAAGTCAAAGAGGTATGCATGAAACAACTAGCGCCAGAAATTTATACTTTCTTGCCGGTAGTCAGAAACCATGAACTGCGAAGGACAGATTCGCGTTGAAAAATTAGTATGTCAGTTGCAAAGGACAAAGTACGGCTGACACCATGGTAATGCTACCTCAGCACTGAGCAAACGAATCTGTGCCCAAGATATGATTTGTTATGACGTTATTTCCGCTTTTAACACCATTTCAAGGAATCTACTGACTAATTACACAACACCCTGATACAATATTCTGCTAAAATTGGCTAATTACTTCTTTACGTATCAGACGCAGCTATTAAGGTATGGAAATACAGTTCAGCGGCGAACCGTAACTTTCGAAGATTCTAGGGTTCTGCCCAATCTCCCGTTTCTACTCGCATTCATATACATTTATCCTGCAGTACATTTCAGATCATCTCCGTCAAAAGCGACACTATGAATAAGGCGAATATTCGATCGAAAGATGGACAGGGAAAATGCCGAGTAGGTGTTTCGAACACCGAGGCATCATTTTTCTGTTCAAAGCCAATTAAGTCTAATGGTTGCGACAGCACAGAATGTGAGAACGACAGTACTACAGATAGAATGGGGCGCGAACCATGCCGGAACATATTATTCAAGACCTTTAAAAATAGGCGAAATAGTTGGCTAAAGACGCAGTGGCAACCGAGTGTCTGAGACAACACTCGGACGAAGACTGAAGAAAATGAACTTGAGTCTCTAATACAAAATACAGATCCTCTTAGGAAGACGATTCATGCAGAACCTGCTGATCATTCATATCAAGACGCTGTACAATGTCCTTCATTAATATCATATAGCAGAAAACAGACCCATTCCGACCATCGAAGATGGCTTATTTAGTTCACAGCTGGATAATTCATCGACCTAGGAGAACAAAGACAGATTATGTGGCACAAATTTTAGATTACCTGATCTGGCACATTAATATGATTATAAGAAAACCTTATCTGGTTACGCAGACTGTTTCTTGTCATTTTACTTGAGACGTTGAAGTAAACTAATATTAACTGAACCGTAATATGGGCATCATTCTGTCATAGATTTACCGCTAAAATTTGGTTTTGCAGGGCATTAGTTAAACGACTTAATTTTAATTCAAGAAAATTGCTCAAGTAGCACAAAGTACCAGTTTCACTCGTTTCAAAATGTGAAGAAGATGAATGAAGTCCTTGGATCGTTTGACTAGAATATTACTTTTCACAGTACAGTACAACCGCAATACAAGCATCTTTTAACAAGTACTTATATGAATCCCGCTCTTACCTGAAACCGAAACTACGTGATATCGAGCGACAACAGTTGGACTGGCCAGTTCGGTTGATTTCAGACTACCGAGAATGGTCAACTCAGATGAAATTTCGTACGTTACCGTTTCGAAGTCAGTCACACGGACATATCGGTGAACATGCGGCATCAAACGAACTGCACACGATAAACTGCCGAACTTAAGGACTGCGTCGTGCAAGGAATAATTTTGTTTTACAGTACAAGCTATTAGTTCACTGGTCATCTCCCTCTTTGACCATGGAATATAATGCAGGCTACCAGAGCTGCTGCCACCGTCAACTATCCGCCGAAACATATCCGTAGAGCAACGGTTGCTTTCGTTCGTGAACAAGAACACATGAAAAGCGACTGGGTCTTTGGCCAGAGAATTGAAAAATTCTTCGGGCAACGTCCATGGAGATTCGATTGTGCCAGTCGTAAAGAAGAAACAGTTAAAAAACGACAGACTCGACCAGGAGTTGAAACAAGTGGACAGTGCCGCCTGAAACGCGGAAGGGTAATCCGGCCACGTGCCAGTAACAATCTTGTCAAGAGCGGCAT